GATTCTCGTTGGAAATGCCTTTGTAACCCTCTTGGACGATCAGCTCCCTGAGCTTGTATGTCCATTTTCCACTACACTTCACTAAAATCGAGAGCTTGTCAAGCTCGACTCCAGAGCAGGAGGTGACTGTAAATGGATGCCACTGGAGACCCGAAATTGCAGGGAGGTTCACAAAAATCACACTTGCTGCGGGATAATTCATATCTGCAAAAATAGATTAATACAGAAATAAAAAATAGATAAATATAATACTTGGGAGTTTTGCAAACGTGAGCTCTATGGTCTCACTAGAGATCATCCTCGCTGATACCACCTCAACATGCCTTCTGGATTGTAAGAACCTGAATAGTCTATCGATGGTGAAGAGAAAAATCCCTGCAACCATCATGGCAAGCCATTTCTCTCCCACATGAAAAACGAATCCAATCACAAACAAAATGTAGAGCTGATGGGTATAATAAAAGAGCTCAAATCTCTGCTTGCGAACAGGATTGAGTGACGTGACCCAAATAAGCAGTCCAACAATCCATGCAAACATGCCAGTAAAACCAGCAATGCTCGTCTTCTCCCACAAAATAAACTGGACCAAAAACAGTATAATAATTTTTTTAAAAAATATTTTAAAAAAGGCTTTACCTCTTTGGATTTGTGAGCAATTGGCCAATACATGACATACACGATACTGTGAGCTGACCATATAACCATCATAATATGCCCAATCCAAATGTGATACCGGATTGAGTGCTCAAAAGGAATTTTGATAAGCTGGAAAAGGGAGGAAAATCTTGCAACTGGAAAGAAAAGAAAAGCAAACGGGACGGCTCCTGCAGCTCCAAGCCTGCCTCCAACGATGTTAAACTTCCTCTGCCACCTTTCAAGAAAAATAAATCTCAGTTGAGAGTTCGTGAATTAAAGAGACCTGATACTTACAAAGGATCCATGTGGGGGCTCATTCCGGGATGCATCATGAATGGAATATTGATCCTGTCGAAAGAGTTCTTGAGGTGTTTAGCGGTCGTCCAAGCAAACAAAGCCACAAACGCCCCAAGTAGCGCCAGCTCGGATAATGAGATTAGTGCTAATGGGCCTCTAACAAACACTGGATAATTCCATGGATTTATCTTAAGTGGCTTCATGGTCCTGCATAAAAAAAGAAAGGACGCTTAAGTTATCCAAGAAGAATTAGAGATTCTAGCTCACTTGCTTTTCTTGCTGTAACTAAGATAAATGGCTCCAACAAACGCCACCAGTAGTATGGGGGAGATGTAAATAAGAGTGTATGCCCCTGCAAAGATTTTGGAAGAATCACAGTGAGCAGTGCTATCAATTTCCTGGCGAGATTATATACCAGTGTCGCCATATGCTTTGGTGGAGACATGACGAAGAACTGGATTCCAGAAATTGTTTGTCCAAGTTCTCGTTGGCCTCATGATCCAGACCATCATCCATCCTGCGAAGACAATCGCCATGAAAACCTTGGCAGCAAGGCGAAGAAAAGCCATTGCGGATGAGAGGAATGTGAGAACGAAAATGGCCTCTGTCTAGTATATATTCATGCAAAAGCTGTACGATGTACTGCCCTTGCTTCATGCAAAATAGTACATAAAATTGTCAACTCCCCTTTAGCAAGCTGGAGGGATTAATCCATGATTGTATATTTAGTGGATTTTGCCCGTAAGACATAAACAAGTGTTTGTTCGTTGTCAAACAAAGAGTTTCTATGTATGGTTTTTTGTTTTCTGCGCCTGTGATTGCGCCGTGGTGTGGAGATCCCTCGCGTGAAGCATCACGCAAGAATTTGCTACAGGTATGATCCTTCGTGTTTCCAAACAATACTCTCTTTTCTTTTTGTCTCTATTGCAAAAAGAAGCCATAGCTTTCTTCTAAGTTCCAGAGCTCAAAGTTTAAGGGGTGCAAGTTGAGCTCGGCACTGTCCTTTGCATGCCCTCTGGTCACAACTATGCATTCCTTGTTTTTGCTTGTGTGCTCAGCGCAGATCGCTGTGACAAAAACACGCAACTTAGATCACAAATCGAATTTCTCCTTTCTTGAGGAGTTGGAAATCCGGGCGTCTTCCATAAACCACGTTGCTTGGTCTTATTTTCGTCGAGCTTGGGTCTATCACTGGCACGTCTACAAGATTAGAGTCGACTTGGACCAGTTCCACAGGAGGATAGTTCCACCATCAAAGGCACAAATGGCGACCACGTACTCGAGAAGCGGCGCAAATCCTCTACCCGATCTCGAGCAAACTTGGTACGTATTGTGGTCCATTGGATAGATGTGTACACCAGTCCCGCGATGAGCATGTATCCTGCGAAAGATGCCAGGATTGTTGCTGCAGAACTTTCTTCGCGTTTGGATTTCCAGACTCAACTTGACGGGGGATTCAAGATCACTTTCGCTTTCACGAGTGACATAAGCATGAAGTTTCAAGAAATCTGCAGCGGACGGGAGCGATGGAAGAGGTGAGATGGAATGTAGAATCTGGAGCTCCTAGGAAAACTTGACTGCCAGAATGGAAACGATTTTCTTTGGTGCAAGCCTGAGCGATGAATGGTCCGACTCCACTTCCTCCGGCCACGAAGATCAAAGCTGGACATCTTCAGCACAAAGGTAGAGTTTTAATGCATTTTGAGCCGAAATACTTACATCAAGCTCGTGACCATGAGGCCTTCAACTGCTGCTTCAAAGGGTGCGGGATAGCTGTTCTCGTGAAGACGCTCCTGATCGAGCAGCAGGTCCAGCTTCCACGGCATTTCACGAGAATAGTAATTCGATCCACGTCCAAAGTTGAGCACGATGTAACAGTGAAAGGATGTCTGCAATCTCGAGATGGCGCAAGTTGAGAAAGATCACACTTGCGGCCGGGCTCTTCAAATCTCTCCAAGTAAGTCATAAGTTAACAGCGAAGAACAGAAAAATGTATGTGCTTCTCACCAGGAACTTTAGCGAGAGTGAGCCCCAGAGTTTCTGGAGAGATGACTTTTGCCGAGACCACCTCAACGTGCCTCATCGATTGCAGGCACCGGAAGACTCTATCGATGAGAAAAGAAACACTCCGGCGATGATGATGGCGAGCCATTCCTCCCGAGGTGAAGAGCAAAGCCAATGATGAAGACAAAGTAAAGCTGGTGTGTGTAGTAAAAGAGCTCGAATCTGTGCTTCCGGAATGGAGCTAGAGAAGTCCCCAAATCAGAAGGCCGACGATCCAAGTAAACAATCCAGTCAAACCACTTATGTCGATCTTGTGCCACCTTACAAGCTGAAAGAGAGAAACCAAAGTAAGCTCTTTTCTGTAAAAATTGATATACCTCTTGTGATTTGTTTGCCATTGTCCAGTAGAGGATATAAACCAAGCATGGACAGTCCAGAGGAACACGTGATATGCCCCGTCCAAATGTGGTACCGCGCACACGGCATGCTCGAATAGTATGTTTGTTAGCCGGAAGAGTGAAGGAGCCGCGCAACTGAGAAACGCAAAGGGAGGGCTCTAGTCATACCAAAGATTGTTCCAACAATGTTGAACTTTTGTTCCCATCTAGAAGCCAGCAAAAAAGTGATAAGATCAAGGTGCATTTTTTCTTCTCTTTTTTGTTTCTGAGTCACTTACAGTAACAATGGCAAACAAATCACAACAGGTATATCAATGCAAAGTTTTAGAGAAGAGCTTACTTGGGTTACAGGCCTTCCCATCCAGTCGAAAGGGACATTAATCCTATCGAGCGGCGTATAAGGCGATGGAAGCTGTGAGAAGCGCGAGAGAAATCAGTGCCAGTGGTCCTCGGAGAAAAACCGGATAAGTTCACGGACTAATTTCTCAATTCCCTGGCATGGTGATGAGAAAAGGGTGAGTTTTAACCAAGTTCTTGAAAAGATCTTAACTCGTTGCGCAACGAGTTAGGATCTTTTCAATTGGTTTCAATTGGTGTGACATTTCTACCAATTGGGGTCGAGTGTCAAGACGATTTAGAGCCGTTGCAACATTTCGCACCAGCGAGTGCATTATTCTTCACGAGCTGGATATCTATCCATTGTAGCAAAGAAAAACACCAAACAAAAGGATACCTGCAGCCAATGAATCGCCTCCAGTGACGCGCTTGAGCAAGAATGGCGTCACAAAATTACCGGCAATATCTGCTCCTATAAAAAAACACGTAGGAATAGCAAGAGAGAAATCACTGAGACGTACTCTGCTTCATGCAATGTCGATTGTATGGCCGATTCCACGTTCTTAGCTGCCGCTGCATGGTCTGCGGGTATTGGAAACCCGATCAAAATGCCCGAACCCAATCCAAACTTCGTATTTGCCTCTACAGTGTCAAGTTAGAACCGATAACGACGATGACTAGAGCTTACCTCCTCCATGTTGTCTGCTCGGCAAGGTGCTTTTCAGCCACTTTTAGGAGTAAAAAATGCCGGAAATTCATCAGTTGAGTAGCTCCTTGAGTTTCCTGCAAATTGTTTCATATTAAAACGCCCGTGCGCTATACGATGGTCTGACAAGGTATTCAAGTGTTCCTGGAATGTCAAGGATTGATTTTACCCCTGCACAAACCACCGCAACTGGAGTTTTATACCGAGTTCTGTTAAGTGCGAGGAGCTTAATAAAAACAAAGTTAAAGACACAAAAGTATGAACCTTGGGGAACCTTGGGCTTCCTAGACTCGCCCTGTCGATGAACTCCTCCAATACCTCCAGTAACGAACACTTTGATTCCAGCCTGGAACATAATCCATCAAAGTTTACTCTTTTTCCCAGTGTAGACACTACCTTTGAAGCGAAAGATATTGTTGCTGAAAAGAGTGGTTTCTCCATTTCCTCGACAAGCAATCTGGGATAGAAAAACATTAACTGCGGAGAACAAGAGAAAAAAGAGCTTACGACGTAAGGAATGTCGAGCTTAAAGCTCAAGCCTATGCATGCGTGTGAGAGAGCAAACGAAACAAAAGCATACCAATGCATGGGACACCGTGATCAATTGGTGTTTGTGTGCTTCTTGGTGTGGCCCAGGTAGAACGCTGCGATGAATGCCAGGAGCTGTGAATGAGAGTGTAAACTCCTGGAAAAAGGTAACACAGTGTTGATCGAAGGAAGGAAAGATCTTACCAGTTTGTCCGTAAGATTTGAGAGACACGCTTGGCAAAAAAAATCTAAATCCTTTCTAGCCATAGAAACAGAAGATGGGAGCTCCGATTCGGCGATTCGTCTTCAAGTTCTTCATGTTCTTGGTGTTCGCTGCGTGTGGATCATGTCTCCAACAGCAGGGCATTTCTCGGGGCCGATTGCCGAGCGCGATGTAGTACAAAGTACCAGACTAAGTACGTAGTGGACTTTCTCTGGTGCAAAAATATTGGCATGAAACACGTGGTGCCCATCTTGGGCAGCCCGTGGCCGTCGGATGAGAATTTCTACGTTGTTCGCGATTTCTTCCTCTTGGGTGTGTAGATCGCTCCAGGAGTGAGATGGCAGCCGAATCCAGTCCCAGCCACATTGTCACAGACAGACAAGCCTCCCGACGGCTCCACCCGCTCCCACCGCCACTGGAATCCAGCGCCGCCATCAGCATCGACCTGGGCACGAGCTCCGCGGTCGCGGTGTGGAGGAATGGGAGAGTGGAGCTCTGAGGATCGTAAGAGCTACGTGCTCTTCAGCGACGCGCCCACCGGGATCAACAAGGTCGGCGGCGGGGCGAGCGAGGACGAGCTCTGGTCGGGGCGATCTTTGGCGCCAAGAAATTGGTGGGAAGAACCGACACTGATCAGATCGTCCAGAGCTGCCGCGAGAAGTACCCATTCCTCATGATCAAGAGCCTGGGGATCGGACTCAAGCCTTTCCTGGGCGCTCGCGGCAGCAACACACATCTGCCCAGGAGGAGATCCTCGTGTTGCAGCTCACCACGCCATTGCCGAGTTCCGCCTTGGCAGGATGGTCCGCTTGGCAGTGGTGACCGTCCCGGTTTGCTTCTCGCGCTTCCAGCTCATGAAGACCGAGCGGGCGTGCGTGATGACGGGGCTTCAAGTTGCGCGGCTCATGCCCGAGCCCACCACCGCCGGCCTCGTCTACGCCCACATGATCCAGCAGCAGGGAGTGTTGGCTCCAGTCTCGGCCAGCGCCGCTGAGAAGCTCGCGCTGATCTTGAACATGGCGATGTCACCGCCACCGCTGAGGGAGTCTCGCAGGTCCGAGGCCTCGGGTGAGGCATTTGGAGGCGAGGAGCTCCTTCAGAACTTGGTCAGCTATCTGGTCTCCGAGATGATCCCGCAGCTCGGGCACAGCCCCGCCAAGGTGCCTTCCCAAGGATTGTGGCGGCGATGGTAGCGTGGGAGTGGCAGCACTTGACCGGGAAGTGAGGATGCGTGGATGACAGGCATGACTGGTGTGTCGAAGCTCTTTGGAACAAGCATGTAGAAGTTGCAAATTCATCTAGCTTCTGCTTGAAATTAGATTTTTTGTCCTTGTCATTTTACTGTGGTCAAATGATAAACCATCACTTA